GTGAGGAGGGGAGACTGGCCTATTGCAACCGAAGCAGTAGAAAAGGGCGGGGGGGGCAGGACGACACAGACAGACAGACAGAGAAGGGTGGGTGGGCAGGGCCCTTTTAAAAGGGAATGTAGTGAATGTGCACAGGTGGTGTTCTTAGTGGCTGCAGCTGAGGGCCTATTCTGTCAGAATCCCAACTGCAGTCCAAAACAGATGCCTAAATACTAACACCACTTCTAGAACTTTCTCGTACAGAAAAACTTATCATTGAGCTAAATAATATCTACAGGGAAGAATGTATAGCATTAACATTTTTGGTCACATAGGGCCTTGCTGTTAGCTCTGAATTGTCTGGAACTCACTATGTAGAGCAGGCTGGCCTCAAATTTGTAATGATCCTATTGCCTCTGCCTACCAAGTACTGGGATTATAGGTGTGTGTCACCATACAGAGCTAGGATAAATGAAGTTTTAACAATTAGAAACACAACCATTAATAGAAAACCAGTTAAATGAATTATAGTACATCCAATAAACAGACTTTTAATCCCAACAGTTAAAAGGCACTAGACCAATAAAATTGACAGTCAGCAGGAGAGTGGTTTAGCAAAGAATGGGGATGAAGGAAGAAAATGGAAATTAGTGTTCATCAAGCACAAAACTGCAGTTTTATAACAAAAAAAAGATCTGGATTTGGATGGCAATAATAGGTGCACAGCAATCTGAACACAATAAGCAGCATGGTAACCATTTTGATGTAAAAGTTAATATGGTAACTTTTATGTGTATTTTGACTAAAACAAATTTAATATATGCTGGGTATGTGGTCCATGTCTATCAATCCATCAAATTGGAAAGGTTAAGGCAGGAAGATTGCAAGCTTAAGGTCAGACTGGGCAACTTAGTGAGGATTTGTCTCAAAATATACTTAAAATTTCAAGATTTACTGGCTTTGTTTTGCCTGCATGATTGTATGTGTACCGTATGCATGTCTGGTACCCAGAGGTCAGAAAAGATTCCCTGAAACTGGAATTATGGATGGTTATGGATGCTAAGAACTAAACCTAGGTCCTCTGCAAGAGCAACAAGTGCTCTTAATCACTGAGCCACCTCTCCAGCCTCTTAAACACACTTTTAAAAAAGGGACAGAGCCCTTACAGCCTTAGTTGTCCTAGAGATTTGTCTGCCTCTGCCTCCAGAGTGCTGGGACTAAAGGGGTGTGCCACTACACTTGTTTTTTTGAAAAATTCAACACACACTCTTCTAGACTCTTACCATTTTATCAAAAAGTTTCTTTTGTGAATATCTGCTGTGTTCATGTCTTGTGAAAGGACTGTAACTCACATCCATCTGGTCAAAGGGAAAATGCCAGTTCCATGCCTTAGCACTGCCCCTAGCTCAAAGTAGGTACTCAAAACAAGTGAATGAATGAATGAATAAATGCTGGCTAACAGGCTTGATAGCTCCCCAAATTTCAGGAAAAACAAAACACAACTTTACAGAAAAAACAGGAAAAAACAATTAAGAGATTGTTTATCTAAAGAAGACAGCATTTGATAAATTTGAAAACCGAATGACTAGTTAGTTCACCAAATAGCTAAGACAAAACCAAGTGTTTTCTAGAAATCATCCCACCCCAAAATTAAATACAAAAATCACTATTTGGGAAAACACCGGGAAATCTTAAAGAGGGAAACGGGTAATAAAATACATATGATAAGAAACCAGAAAGGGGACTTCTGTAGAGAGGACTAGCAGGACACAAGAAAGTGAATAGGGAAGAATGAGCAACAGAACAGAATACATAGGAAAATACCATAACAAAACCATCATTTTGTAAGCTAATTTTAAAAACTATCTAAGGGCTAGAGAGATAAAAAGAGGCATAACACCAACCTAATAATTCTGTAGTCTAACATGCACGGACACACAAATATAATTTAAAAAATGGAACAAACAAGAATTTATGATGTACATTAAATATGTATATATTGTAAATACATCAATCTTTTCAAAAAGAAAATGAAAGTACATACTGACTCTTAGCAGAAAAAAACTTTCTTTTTATAAAAAAATTAATTTTATATGCTTTGCCTGCATATATGTTTAATCCCATGTGTATGCCTGATGCCTATGGATGACAGAAAAGAGCTTTGGAACCCTTGGAGCAGGAGTAGGAGTTACACCCAGTTGTGAGTTCTGGGAACTGAATCCAGGCCCTTTGCAAGAACAAGTTGTTGTTGTTTTTTTTTTTTTTTTTTTTTTGGTATTTCTGAGACAGGGCTTCTCTGTGTATCACTGGCTGTCCTGGAACTTGCTCTGGGGATTGAACTCTCAGATATCTGCCTGCCTATGCCTCCCAAATGTTGGAATATAAGGCATGTGCCACCACTGCTGGGCCATGCAGCAAGTGTCCTTATGTTCTTAACCATTAAACCATCTCTCTAGCTCCCAGAAAACATTGTGTAAAAGCAAAAGAAATCCTAACATTTTTTTAGTGAGTACATGTTGTACATTGTGTGTACTACAGTACATATATGAAGGTCCAAGGACAACTTGTGGGAATCAAAAACTTGTAGGAGGTTCTCATCTAGTATGTGGCTTCTGGAGATCAAATTCAGACCATTAGGCTTGGTGGAAGTATCTTTAAGCCAGTCATTGGGCTGCCTGAGATTTTATACAGTAGAAAGACAAGCAGTATCAAAATCATGACAGTGTAGGGAAAAAATATCTGCACTATGACAAAGAGTTAAAATCCTTAATATATTAAGAGTTCTTACAAAGGTTAGGTATTCAGTTAAGTGGCTCTAGAAAGTTCAAGTCCATGGTTTCTTATAGACCAACTTAAAAAGAAGTATTTTGGGGGTCCGGAGAGATAGATGGCTTAGTAGCTAAGAGCACTTGCTGGTCTTGCAGAGGACCCGTGTTCAGTTTTCAACACTCATATGAGGCAGCTTACAACTATCCCTATCTGTAGCTCCAAGAGGATCTACCTCTGGCCTCTGTAGGCAACTGCACTCATGCACACACACTCCTAAAGAGACAGACAGAAACACACACTCACACACAGAATTAAAAATAATAAAAAATATTCTGGTGAAACAATAAATACAGAACATGAACACACCATTCACACAGACCAGATACAGATGGTCAATGATTACTAGGTTCACTTCAGTAATAATGAAAATAGAGCAGATTTAAAACATAGCTATCTAATTATGCAGTCCCAAGAACTGAGATAGCCACTTGTAAAAGTGATATGTCAATATCTACCAGTACCTCCAAGTCTAGGAAGCCATTCTTCAAAATGACTGGCTCATGTAGAAGTTCTATTTCAAAGTTTTATCATTTTGTTTTTTGAGACAGGGTCTTGCTATATATATAGCTTTGGCTGGCCTGGAAATTGCTATGTAAACTAGGCTGGACTCAAACTCACAAAGATCCATCCACCTGCTTCTGCTTCCCAAGTGCTGAGATTAAACTTGTATACCACCATACGGGCCATTTTTTAAGGAGAAAAAAATATGATACACTTTACAAGTAAAGACAAATTTTATCATTTGAACTCAAATGGCTATGTTTTTCTCATTTGTAAGTAGTAATTTTTTTCTAAAAAAATTATCCATCTTTTCTTTATTTCTTTAGAGAAACATGTGTAGTGTCATTACTGCCTTTTTATAAAAGCATTTGTAAACTGAGACAAATACTACAAAAAAACCACAAACCACTCCCAGCTCAACATCTACCAGAAGACACCCATCTTTGCTAGTATGACATTTAGTCCACAGAATTCCAGAGACAAAGCACTAGCCATATAACTCCCACCAGCATAAATATGTGGAGCACAAAGAACAGTCAGCCAGGTACTGAGCACAGCACATTACAGTAAGAAGAATGACAACTAAAGTCATAGGATCACAAGCAGAACCAATCCTGGGACCTGGAGACAGTACTATGATCTTGGTTTCGTTCTATTCTTCTCTACCTAAAACTTAATCCCCCAGATAAATATGCATTTGGTGGGGGGTTAATGCATATGTACACAATAGCTTTATGAAGTGTAATAAATACTAGAAGTACAGAAAATGCTACTTGGGGGTCTCAGCTACAATCACAATGTAGTATGTGTAACAGTCAACATTTTCTCTTGTAGAAAAATAGAAAATTCAATTGGAATTATCTGTTTTATCACATAGAAATCCAGGTAACAAAAATATCAAAGTCAGAATAACCATTGATTTAAAAAGAAAAAAGTTTGAGAGGTTTGGGCCTGATAAAAGATGAGAAATTACAGAACAATCCATTCTTACAAACTAAAATTGACACAATGGTACCACACAATGATACCACAGTGCAGCAGATCTGTCACATAAATGTCAGGTCTACAATGACTTGGCTGTCCAGCTTTTCCAAATGCATTTACTCTACTCTAGAATCCCAAGAGCCACACATGTGTCTGAGTGCACTCCATCACAGGAATACAGCAAGCAAGCACCATTATCCATAGTCTCCAGTGTTCTGTGACACTTTCAGAAGAGTGCCCTTCTAGGGAACCACATACCAGTTCCTGTATCTGAAAATGCATTACACCACTTTTTTTCTAACATTGACCAGTAAGTCATTTAACCCAAACCAAAGCAAAGAAAGCATCATGCTGAAGACTGCTAGGTAAGAGCAGCAGCATAGGGGAAGAGCTCAGGACAAGTACTCTCCTGCTTCAAGGTGAACTGAAGCTGCAGATCACCAGTTCCAGCTCTAATCTGACACCCACCCCCAGATCACATTGTAACTACCAAGTAATTCTACCCAAACTGAACTGACCTTTCAGGGCTCAGGGAAGTGACTTTTTTTTATTATATGGCACAGTTTGGCCCAGTTATTTTTTTTTGTCTTTGGGGTACTTTTATACTGTCCAAGAGTAGTATCTTTTTTTTCCTTTTTTGTTTTGTTTTAAAAACAGATGGCCAAACCAGGACATATACTAAAAAAAAAAAAAGGAAGGTTACTTACCTGAGCCCTAACATCCCAGCTACCATGGAATCCTGTTGGAGCTGGTCTACAGAAGCAAGGTGTATTCTGGGGAGTCACATGTCACATCAAAGCAGGAACTGGTGAGTCTGTATTTTTATGGAGCCTAAAACAAAGAAAATCGTAAGTTGAAAGTCCCCATTGAGCTGCACTTTTTTCCCAAGGCTTTTGGGACATTTTGAAGATAAACACAGACAAAGTACTATGTTACTTCCCAGCTCTTCTAGTTAGAAGCAAAGAATAAACTGCAAATTATTGCCACAACACACAGAATGCTAAAATAAAAACAAGACTTATGCTTGTCAAAATCGACACTATCAGAAGTCTTGACACCTCTGGGGAACACTTTAAAACTACAATGCATTCCAAAAGTGGTGATTTCTGGTAAGTATTTCTTCTACCAAGTAATACAGGAAAAGTCAAGGATAGAGTGTGTTCAAAAGTACATGCAACATCAAAACATCACCTCAAAAAGAACACATCAAATTCAGAAGCCACGTTTCCCTTCTGCTTCCAGCAGTCAAAGCTGCAAGGAACTGCTCTAACATCGCACAAAGGGTCTTTCACCTTGACATAAAAGACAAAAAGCACCAGGAGAGCCAAAGCCATTATTCAGAATATAGAAATCCATCTCTAACCAATTACTGTAAGCCTCTCAAATCAGTAAATTTCAATGTCTATAACACATTGAGTTGATGGGTCTTTTAACTTTTTTGTTATTTTTCTTAACTTTTTTAGATTTCATCTATTGGCATTTTTAATATATGAGCATTTATCTGAACACATGTCTGTGCACCACCTGAATGCAGTGCCTGCTGAAGCCAGGAGATGCCATCAGATCCCCTGGGACTGGAGTTATAGACCACTGTGAGTCTCTATGAAGGTAGTAGAAATTGAACCTAGATCTTCTAGAAGAGCCATTTTTCTTAACCACTGAGCCATCTCTCCAGCCCTTGTTGTTACTTTTTAAGGCAATTCTGTTATATAGTTCAGATGTTCTCAAACTCAGATCTTCCTGTTTTAGCCTCTCATTTTTGAACACATGTTCAAATAAGGATGTTGCCATCAGGATAACCATTATTCCTTGTTAAAAACCTAAATTGCTCCATATTAGCTAATCTCAGATACCTGGCTTTCACAGCAATAATACTTTTTATCTTTAGACTAAAAGAAAAACTTATACAACTTAAGACTATTATAGTCACTCATGGGGTCAAATCCAGATGAAGGGCAACAGCAACCCAAGTCCTTGGCAGCTGACTGCCAATTCCCTAGATGATGCCTACAGTTATCTTTTAAGACTCAGCAAAACCTCTTAATTCCCATAATTTCCTTAAGTCATAGAATTAAGTAATGGAACACTTTGAAATCCCAAAGTTGATATTTTTCGGATACCCCTAACAAAAAAATCAAACCAATACCTTGTTTAGGAGGGCCTGCAAAGTCATAAGTTCTCAAGACCACAGTTTTACGTACATGCAATTTTATTGTTTTTCTTGTAGTACTAGAAATCAGTGCCCTGCACATGCAAAGCAAACACTCTACTACTGACTGAGCCATCTATCTTCAGCCCTTGTTTCATTGGGTACTGAACTAAGCTTTATTCTAAGCTCTTAAAGTTTGAGATCATTAATTAACTCAAAATTTAACAGAAAAAAAGCTAAAAATGAGTATAGTTAGGTGAAAATCAAACAAAAATGCTCATGTTTTAATACCTCCGGTTCTTAGGAAAGGGAGATAAGGACACTTTTACTAAGGCTTGGCTAGTAACAAGAGTCCAGACATCCACAGTACTGGCAAAGAGCTACATTAGGTGAGCAGACATCCAATGCTAGCAGAGTCCCTAGAAGAAGGTAAAAAGGCCAATGTTTACTCTGGTCACACTGCCCCCTTTAACATGGGAATAGGCATGTTTGCCTTCTCTCAGAGTCTTGCTACCACTCAGTCATCTCACATTATATCTACCATGAAAGTGGTCTAGTCAAGTATTTAAACCATCACTCACAAACCAAACTTTCAAGAGAAAATGTTCTTTGGAAGAGAAAAGCAGAAGAAATTTATGGAAAACAGGAGAGCACATACTCCTTCTGTATAAGCAAGCCTTGGAAGGAGGGAACCACTGACATTGGTCCTCCCTGAAATGATGAGTAAGTACAGTTCTGATTGGACAACTACAAAAGGCTGTAATGGGCACTGAGGACTATGCCCTTCCCTTGGAAGAACACTAGTGTTCTTTACTCAAAAAGAGATTGTTTCTCTCAGCCACATGGCCTGGTCTGCACAGATGTTTCCAGAACAGGTGATGAAAATGAGGTATTTTGCCATATTCCCAATTCTCCAGTCTAGACTGTGCTTATAACATTGGTTACTACAAATGTCATTGTCCATGATTCTCTGTTTCCCAGAGGTAACTCAGACAGCCTGGTGATAAAATGCTCTTAGCCCGTTACAAGATTCTCACTGACAGTCACCTTTAGGAAAGATAAAAGGTTCAGGATACATAGTTTACCATGCAAACAAGCTAACAAGTTTACCACTGCTGTTCTTTATTCTAGGTTAAAGAAACAAACTTCTCAGGAGTGCTTGGGTGGAGTTGGGGCACTGGCACATGGGACTGTAGTCGATTTTTCTTTCAAACGCCATAGCTTTGCCTCCCTGCCCCCAGTAGATTAGGCCTCATAGAAGTAGATCAGGCAGAGGGTACAACTCTATCTGGAAAATATAAAACACAGATTGCAAAAACGGATCATAACCTTCCAAAATCTTTGTGGTCTATGCGGTGCCCCAGATGTACCTCAGGATTCAAACAGCATGAAAGAAAGAGTAGAAAGCTAGGGGTATTGCTCAGTTGTGGGATGATTGCCTAGCATGCACAAGGTCCTGGGTTTGACCACCATTACAACAATAACAACAACAAAAAAGAAAATTAAAAAAATTCTCGGAGTACAACTGTTACTACATAATGCTTTCTTCCTAAGTGAAACAAAGATCTGCTACTGGAGCTTTAAAGGAAAGGAAAGGAAATAGGAATATGCAATAGATCAATATTAGCAAGAAAGCCATACAGTTTCTTCAAACTCTCAGGACACACTAACTCAACTCTCAGGACACATTAACTTCAGATGTCACCAGTCACTTTGAAAAGAAACTGTATTCTAGAAGTTACTTACACTGTTTAGAGAGCTAGGAATACAACAAATAGCTAACAGGAAGGGCACTTGAAGGGAGCAAACACATTGCAGAATATGAAAATAAACTATGAGTCCAACTCAGCTCAGGCTCAAATGTACAAATCTCGGAATCTTCGACAAGCAAGGCTTCGGTGTGTTTGTGAAAGTGAATGCACTCTGTTGATCAGCCACTCAGCTGTCCTGACATGAATGTGTCATGTGCACCAACTCATTTTAGACCATTTGTACATCTTCTAAACGGTTTGGATTCTTTAAGGTTCTGACATACCCAAGTAAAAAATAAAAGCAAGTGTTTCCTAGGCTTTCTGAATATGATTTAAAGTTAAAACCAACAAACAAAAAACCAAAAGCCCATAAATAAAAGTGTATTTTTCCAAATCCTTGATGGCAATTCTCCAAAGACCTAAACAATCCAGACCTTATCTTTTTACAGAGATTTGTCATATTTAAAAGGACCCAAAAGGTCAGCTTAATCATGCTATTAATTGAAACTGCTTAGATTCACATGACAATTCCAAGTACAAACCCAAAAATTCTCTACAGCTATAACTACCTATTAGTACAATTTTACTACCAAGGCCCAAATTGGCTTCATCTATATAGTATAATAAAATACCTAGAACTCGTGAAAGTCCTACAACATCTCAGCCAACTAGCATTATAAATTAGTGCATTATGTTTCATGATCAGTATCAATGACCCTGTATTTGATCTTATTGTCTGTCTCACTGTTTGGGGTAGTGATTCCAAACACTGGAGACAACATGCAAATGGCTCAACAGAGCCCATTTGTGTTCCTGGAAAAATAACCAGAAGTACCTATCTGCCTGACCATGAGTCAGGAATATCAACTTTGTGGTGGGGCCCATTTTTGCTGTAATCAACCCATACCCGGACACATAAAGAACTAGCACAGTTACTCCCTAGCAAGTTTTGCCCTTCAGGGGTCCATACTTAGCAATGTCATATAGGGTCTTTCTTGTGCGAGCAATTTTTTAGACTACATAATGATTTTAAACCTTCAGTGCAAAAACCTAGGAAACATTGCCATATAAAAGTCACTTATGTTTTATTTTAGGTGATTTGGCCACAACCAAACTAGAAACTTTCAGAGATAATCGACAGGAGTCACAGCGATGCGATGAACTTGCCCCATCTGGTACTGGCGATCTTGAGCGCTCCAGAACGAAGAAAGCCCGTTACATACAATGTCCCATTCCACTTATGTAACTGGATGATCGCTGTCGAAGCAGGGATGGGGGTGGGGTGGGAAGACGCTCATATTCCGAAGCCACAGCACAGCACCCCCAAAGAACCAGAGCACCCTGAGGGCATGGTCTCACGGAAGAGCTTCAGGTGCTGAGGAACGCACAGTCCCCTGCCCACGGTTCCTGATGAGAACTATAACCATCTTTTATGATGAGTTGTGAGACCCAGAACATAATGTCTAGTCCTTTATGTGGGTGGACAATAACCCCCCACCTACTTGTTCCTGCCAAATGGGGAATGGAGTTGGAAGACCGACTCGCTTGCAGTGGGGGCAAAAAGTCATGGAATGGGTGAAGAGGAAGGGGAAGCAAAGCCCAGAAAAGGGGATAAGCGCTCAGGAGCCCTTGTGGCGCACTCTCCCAACAGGGGGGTGGACTGCGCACGCGCGCCAGTATGTGTGTGCTGGGGGGGGGGAGCGAGTAACGGGAGAGGGGGCGCGCAAGGGAGAGGGGACAGCGCGATCCAGGGAGAGGCCAGGGCCGCGGGCGCGCGACGTTGCCACGGCCCAAAGCCCCAAGAAGGGCAGGAGCACGCGCAGCCCCAACTCATGAAGCCCAGACAAGGGCGACCGCACGGCCAAGGCCCAGGATGCACATAGAAGGGGCGGGCAGCGGGAGGGCGTCATTCGAAGGTGGTTCCAGGGAGATCGCGCTGAGGAAGGTCGCTCGCGACTGCGGGTGACGAGTGGAGGAGAAAGCCACCATCGGCGGTAAAGGGGGGGGGAGGGTAGAGAGGAGGGACGCCATCTGCCAGCCTTGTCGCCCGACCCCGCGGGCCCCTCCCGCGCCACGTCCCGCCCCTACCCCCCGCCCCCCGGCAAGGGTCCCCGCCCGCGGCCTTGGCGGTCCCACTCACAGTCTCTCCTCCTCGCCTCCTCCTCCTCCACTCGGCGCAGCGGTGGTGGCGGCGGCGGCGGTGGCGGCGGCGGCCATTTTCCGAACGGCTTTTACCACAGCCCTCTCTCCGAGAGGAGGGAGCGCGCGCGCAACCGATGCCGGGACCCCGCACGGCCGACGTCGCGCCCCGCCCTCCCGGCCAGCCTGCGCGCTGCTGCACCTGCGCACCCGCGCCTCTCCTCTGGCGCTTCAAGCCTACCCTCCATTGGCTCTGGCACCCAGGCTGTGGTGGAGCCTTAGCAATGACGCCTCCAATTGGCAGGAGTTCCTGTCTCTTTAGGCCAGGGAAAAGGGGGCGGATCCCATTCAGCTGCGGATTGGTAGCGGTAAACTGTCATTTGGGAAAAAGAGGCGGCTAGGGCACAGTGGGACTGGTTTTGTGGGCAGCATTTGAATGCTAAGAATTAATGGAACCCTTGTGAATGCTGCCGCTTAAGAAAGCCTAGGCTCTTGGCGCCTATTAGCGCCGCCCTGCTGAGCGGTTGACCCTCTATCCACAACAGCATCTTATAAGCTGCAATAAGCATTTGACTGCACTAGCACTTTCTTAGTATCATCATTTTCAGTAGAAGCAGCAAAGTTGCCTGCTGAGAAGCCTGGCATTGTTCTAAGTAAAGGGAGGTGTTTTAAGGGGCCTACGCATTGTATTACTCCACTTAATTTCCAGGTGTCACACTCTTAGGGCCAGCACTAACCTCAACATATCAAACCCTGGTCTTTGCAGACTTCTATGGTGGGAAGGTGGCACGAGCCAAGCCCATATAGATCTGTCAATGTTGGATGAAACACTTAGGTGAAAATATGTATAAAAGGCAGTGAGCCCAAAGGAAGGAGCACTGCTTTGAAGATGTAACTTGGGACCTGGGACCCAGCAATCTCAATTTAAGAGCATGAGGGAAGGTTTAGGTAATAGGATATCAGGCAGGAGTGTCAAAGCAACCTTATCCTGATATCAGTCATCATGCAATGCTCCTTGTGATAAACTTGTGCTCAACAAGATTCAAATTTGGCTCCCATCTCCATTCATTTATTTGCTAGGCACCGTTTTAGTACTGAACAAGGAAACAAACTAGAATCCTGTTAAGGGTCATACTAAACATACAAGTAAGTAGAACTTAAATTTTTACATAGAAATAAAGACTTTGAAATAGATAAGCTGTTGTTCTTTTGCTTCAGATGCTAGGATAAAGCTGGAAGGGGGGTCCTGCTAGGACAGTAGCAGTTGAATTATGATGTGTTGTGGTATTTAGGATGTATGTTCAAAATTAAGCCAAAGTATTGGATGTCAGATGGAAAGAAAGAAGAAAACAAGGATAATAGCTGAGTTTGGGACAGGATCATCCAAGTGAATGCTTTTGTTTGTATGTTTTGTTTGTTGATTTTGTTGTTGTTTTTACCACAATGGGAAAATTACAGGATTCTCAGCTGAGTTACAAGCATTTGATAAAATTCAACACCTACTTATGATTTTAAAAACACCATGAAGAACTATAACTAGAGCTCGGAACCTTAAGGTTAGAGAGGACTGGGAGACAGACACTTTGCTTTGTTCAAATCGAAGTCAAGGGTGCAAAAATGCAGAGCAATAAAACCTTGAACTTGGAGAAGCAGAACCATACTCCATGGGAGTATCATCAACATCACCATCACCACCAGCAGCAACAGCAGCAACCCACCAATACCTGCAAATGAACAGAACACCAGGCAGAATGAAGGCTTAACTATTGACCTGAAGAATTTTAGGAAACCAGGAGAGAACTTCACCCAGCATAGCTGTGTTTTTGTGGGCAATCTTCCCTTGATGTCACTGAGGAAGAAACAAACTTTCTGAGAACTATGGGAAAGCAGGTGAAGTTTTCGCTCTTAAGGATAAAGGCTTTGCCTTTATTTGCTTGGAAATATGACTCCTTAGTGGAAATTGCCAGAGTGTAGCCGGACAATATGCCACTCTGTGGAAAGCAACTGTGCATGCGCTTTGCCTGTCTTAGTGCATCCTTTACAGTTCACGACCTTCCTCAGTACATATCCAAGGAACTGCTGGAAGAAACCTTTTCTGTGTTTGGCCAGGTGGAAAGAGAGGGCCGTGGTCATTGTGGTTGACTGAGGAAGGCCCGCAGGGAAAAGCACTGTTGAGTTTTCAGGGAAGCCAGCTGCTCAGTAACGTCTGGACAGATTCAGTGAAGGCTCATTCTTTTTTGTTTCCTCCAACTATTTTTTCTATTTATTTTTTTACATTCCAATGCAGTTCTCCCTCCCTTTTCTCCTCCGCTCCTCCCACTCCTCCCACCTCCCATCTGCTCCTCAGAGAGGGTAAGACCTTACCTAGGAAGTCTACTAAGTCTGTCCCATCATCTCCTTGAGGCAAAATCAAGGCACACCTCTCCACCCCCACACCCCTGTGTCTAGGCTGGGCAAGGTATTTCTAAGGTTCATTCTTGCTAACCACATTTCCTCAGCCTGTGATTGTGGAGCCTGTGGAGTAGTTAGTTAGATGATGAAGAGGGACTTGCAGAAAAGCTAGTTATAAAAAAAAACCAACCAACCAAACAAACAAAACGCCCCAGCAATTTCACATGGAGCGAAAACAGCCACCCAGGTTTGCACAGCCAGTGTCACCCCCTGGAAGACACTCATTGAGATGGAGAAACAACAGCAGGATCAAATGCACCCAAACATCAGGGAGGCTCCTAAGAAGTTGCAGATGGAGATGGAGGCAGCACACCATGAACACCAGGTTATGCTAATAAGGCAGGATTTGATAAGGTGTCGAGAAAAGTTTCAGAGAATGGAGGAACTGCATAACCAAGAGGTTCAGAAACAAAAGCAGTTAGAGCTCAGGCAGGAACTTGAGCACAGGCACTTTGAGGAAGAAATGTGGTGGCAACAAGAAGAAATGATGCAGTGACAACAGGAAGGATTCAAGGGAACCTTCCCTGATGTGAGAGAATAAGAGATATGAATGGACCAAATGACTATGGGAGGTGTTATGGCCATAAATAATAGAGGCACCATGCCCACTGCTCCTGTGCCAACTAGTACCCCAACTACTCCAGGACCTGCCACTATGATGCCAGATGGAGTCTTGGGATTGGCCCCACCAACAGCTGAACACTGGCCAAGCTGCTACAAATTGAAGGAATTGGTGGAATTCCTCCTGCTTTCAAAATGTCCAGTTCCTGGAGCTGAATTTGTTCCAAATAAACGCTATTGATACTAAATAAAGTTGCAGTGTCTAGTTTCCCACAACCCTTAAAATAAAGGCCCTTTTTGGACTAGTCAGAATTCTATCCTGGAAAAGTGTTAGGAATTCTTCCCAATAGGTAAGTTTTCCTTGCCTGTAGTACTCTAGAGAGTGTGCTTGGAACCAGAGGGAAAGGGACTGGTAGTATTTAACAAATCAAGTCTGTGGTATATTGTTTTATCAGGTCTGTCTGGCACATTCTGAAGTATGCTGATTGTTGAGGGCCTAGAGAACCATAAAAATGAACTCAGTTAAAGCTCCATTAATTTCTCAAACATAATTTCTTTATTGAATCTTTGGGAATTTCACATCACGTAACCCAATTCCACTTAACTCCTATAGTCTCCCCTCATCCCTACAGAGCCCCTCAAAACAAAATTTTAAAAAAATCAAACCAAAGCAAAACAAAGTAAGCAAACAAGCAAATAAACAAAAACAAGAATAAAAACAAAACAACAAAAAACCTCTTGGATTCTCCATCATTCCTGCCTCTCCCACACCTCCTCATTCATGCTGGTGGCACTAGGAGCCTTGTGTGTTACTAAGTACACCCTTTTATCCAATCAGCTTTACTTGAAAATGTTCATTGCAATGAGTCATTGGTCTGGTTCCAGGTCTCATGTTTCTGGTACACCATCATCACTGAATCCTCACTGAAACTCATCTGAGATATTCCTTGGCCACCGAGAGACATGAATATCTTGCAGGTATTATTCATGTTCCACAGGACCTGTCCCTTCATGAGCTCCAGCAGGTCCTAGATGGGGTAGATGTTAGGGTGGGCCAAATCAAGGCCCAAGATGTGGGCTTGAGAGTGCCATTAATCTTGATCACCCCAGGTTTCTTTCTTTCCTTCTTTGTTCATCATGTTTTAATTACTTTAATTAATTAATTAGTTAATTGATTATCTTTACTTCCCTCAACCCCAGAGACCCTGCCATATGTACCACAAAACCTAAACATCCCCTACTGACCTAGCCCAATTGTTCCATTTACTTGCAGGTGAAAATTCAGACAAATGTTCACAGAGGTTACAGCATACGTACAGTCCTGTTATATCTCATACATGACCCTTTCATGTCCTAAGGAAGACATTTTCTCTTGGATGTTTTCTTTTAGTTTATATTTTTAATTAAATTTATTTATTTTACATCCTAACTGCAGTTTCCTCCCTCCTCTCCTCCTATTCCCTTCCCCCAACCACTCTCCCCCAAAACCACTCCTCCTGTTTCTGCTCAGAAAGGGGCAGGCCTCTCGTGGGTATCAACAATACATGGCAATAAGACTAAGCACCTCTCCTTGTATTATGGCTGGCCAAGGCAACCCAGTATGAGGAGTAGGATCCCAAAAGCCAGCCCTGTTCCCATTGTTAAGAGTCACACAAGTAGACCAAGCTATACACAGCTGCCACACATATGTAGAAGGCTTACGTCAGAGGTTGTTGGTTCAGGCTATGTGAGCTCCTATGAACCCAAGTTAGTTGTTTCTGTGGATTTTCTTGTGATGTCCTTGACCCTTCTGGCTTGTACAATCCTCCCTGTCTTCAGCAGGATTCCCCGAGCTCAGCCTAATGTTTGGTTGTGGATCTCTGCATCTGTTTCCATGACAATTGGGGTAGTCACCAACCTATGAGTATAGTAGAATATGGTTAGGGATCATTACACTGACTTTTTTCTCCAATCATATTTGGTTCTATCCTAGGACTCTAGGCCATCTAGTCTCTGGGTCCTGGCCCTCCAGGCAGTGTCAGGAGTGGGCTCACTCTTATGGCATGGCTCTCATACAGGGTCAGTTATCGGTTGGCCACTTCCATAGTCTCTACCACCCTTACCCCAGCACATCCCATACGCAGGACAGGCTGTAAA